TTGGGGCCACACCCAGCTGTTCTAAGGGCTTACCCCTGGCTCTGCACTCTGGGAGTCACTTGTGGTGGGCTCTGGGGACCAAATGAGGCGCCAGGGATCAAATTCAGGTTAGCTGTGTGCAAGGCAAGCACTTTACTTGCCTGTCTCTGCTACCCTTCTTCCATTTAACTTTTTAATTTGATTTTTACAAGATAATAACGAGTCATTGACTAACTTAATTTTACTCAAGTAGTTTAATTGTATTTATAAAGCAAAATTACATTCGCAATTATTTATTTTTGTTTTTTTAATTTTTTAGCATATTGAGATTGTTCTAATTCTCATACTAATCAGACATTGTTATTCAAAAATGTTAACATTTATGATTTTGATGTATAAAATGACTTCACCTTGATGGAGCATCAGTCAGTTTCAGTTTGAGACTGCCTCTCTATTCCCTCATGCCACCTGCTTGGCATCTGAATTTCGTAACCAAAGGCGAAAGCTCTGTCATCATTCATTACTGTCTGTTTCCTCGTTTCTCTGCATGCCACAGATAAGTGAGGTCTGCTGGTGTCTCTCCATCTACCTTTGACTTATTTTGCCTAATAGGATGCTTTCCAGTTCTGTTGATCAGCTAACTACAAGATTTCATTTTTCCCTTATAGCTGAGTAGCATTCTGTTTTGTATACCACAGCCTTTTTTAGTCATTCATCTGTTAGATTTATTGGACAGATTAAAAGCTGACAACAAATAATAGTCACTGTGGAAAGGAGCTTTTCAAGTAATAGGCGCTGCCTCTGGTGGAATAGTGTTTTCAATATTTTAGAATCGATCACACTTAACGTTACCAGTTCTTTATACTAAAGTGCATGGAACTCTCATTAGTAAGCAAAGGTGCCCACAGTTTCTATGTTTATGTAACTAATGAATGAATAGCAAATTAGAATCAACATTTTAAATATTCACTTTAGAATGCATGGCTTTATGGGGAAAAGGTAAACTCATCGGCTTTTGGAAGATGTAACAGAACTGCCTTTTATTTAGCCAAGTCAGCTTCACTATAAAATCTATAAAGTGGAGAGGAAAAATTAGAGCGTATGTTTTGTGCCAGTCAGGTGGTATGGATCGCATATGGTAAAGTACTGTGGGTGTTCATAGACAGCAAAAGTATAATCTGGAGAGGGAGAATGTCTTAGTGAATGAGGCAGGAGTGGAGCTCAGTTTATTTATTTATTTTAAATATAAGCTGTTCACAGGATCAATTATTGATTCAGGAGAGTCATGATTATATAAAAATAAAAAATCAGAGTTTAAAAAGAAATGTGGGCATGACTAGTGATTGGGGTAGGAAACCTGAGATAATAAGGGAGTCCATTGGGGCTGAAAAGGTCATTTGGATTATGCAGGATGATGAGGCTTCGTGGTGTAATGAGTTTTTTTGTTTGTTTGTTTGTTTTTTTGCTTTTTGCTTTTTGCATCACAACCAGCGATGCACAGGGATTACTCCTGGCTCTGCACTCAGGAATTACTCCTGGCGGTGCTCAGGGGACCATATGGGGAATGCTGGGAATCGAACCTGGGTCAGCCACATGCAAGGCAAACGGCCTACCCGCTGTGCTATTGCTCCAGCTCCTGTAACAAGCTTTAAAGAGAGTTTCAAAGAAATATTGTGTTTCAGTTCACAACCCTACAGTGGCAGTGTAGACCAGGCTGAACTGGGCCATTCTCTTGACTGAGGGCTGTGGACAGCTGGTCTGGGCACAGTGTTCTGGTGACTGCCTGGTGGACAGTTGAAGCCGTTGTTCCTTAATTCTTTCCTGTGTCACTTCTTCCCACAGACGCAGGTGGCAGCGTGTCGGAGTCTCCGAGGGCCTAGTTTTTTTTTTTTTTTTTTTTTTGCTTTTTGGGTCACACCAACGATGCTCAGGGTTACTCTTGGCTCTGCATGCATCACGATGGTAGACCATATGGGATGCCGGGGATTGAACCTAGGTCAGCCATGTGCAAGGCAAATGCCCTACCCACTGTACTATCACTCTGGCCCCTGAGGGCCTAGACTTAGGCTTGCATGACAGTATCCATGCTATTGACGACTGGCCACAGCAGGGCGAGCCTTTGATGTGGGGATGCTTGAGGAGCTGGGTGTGGATCACATCTAGTGGCGCTCAGGGGTTACTTCCTTGAACATAACATAGAGGTCAGCTCTTTGGGGAAATTGAGGTATAAGCGAACGCTCTGCAAATGGATATCAGCATCTGATGCGTAGAAATGTTTTAAAGCATTTGATAAAACAGCACTGTAGCACTGTCCTCCCGTTCATCAGTTTGCTTGAGTGGGTCCAGTAACTCTCCATTGTGAGACTTGTTACTGTGTTTGGCATTTTAAATACATCACTTGTAGCTTGCCAGGCTCTGCCTTGCGGGAGGGATACTCTACAGTAGCTTGCCGGGCTCTTTGAGAGGGGCGGAGGAATCAAACCCGGGTTCGACCAGGCTGGCCGCATGCTAGGCGAAGGCCCTACCACTGTGCTATTGCTCCAGCCCACAATAAAAACTTAGTCAAGTTTATCACAAATTTAGAAGGAAGTCTTTTAAAATTTTATTTAATTTGTTTTTTAAAATTTTTAAAAACTTTTTAATTGAATCACTATGAGATAGACCCTTACAAAGCTGTTCTTGATTAGATTTCAGTCATATAGTGTTCCAACACTCATCTCTCTGCCAGTGTAAATTTCCCAGCACCAGTGTCCCCAAGTTCGCTACCATTACCCCCCACCCCCTGCCTACCTCTACAGTAGGTGCGTCTCTTCTCTCTCTCTCTCCCCTTCTCCCTCTCTCCCTCCCTCCTTCCTTTTGGACATTGTGGTTTACAATATTGATATTGAAAGGTTACCAAGAATATCCCTTTACCGACTTTAGGTTTTTTTTTTTTGACCATATATTTTTAAAAATTTTTATTAGTGAAACATCGTGATGTACATTTGTAGATTTACAGATTTTTGTGCTTGGGTTTCAGTTATACAATGATCGAGTACCTATCCCTCCACCAGTACCCATTCTTCACCACTACTGATCCCAGTATCCCTTTCACCCCCCCCCCCCCCCCCCCGCCTCTGAGGCAGGGCATTCCCTTTTGTTCTCTCTCTCCTTTTGGGTGCTGTGGTTTGCAAAAGAGAAATTGAGTGGCAGTCATGTTTGGTCTATAGTCTCCTTTCAGCATACATCTCCCATCCTGGGAGGATCCTCCCAACACCCTTTATTTGGTCCTCCTTTCTCTATCTGAGCTTACTTTTCCCCTAGCATGTGCGGCTGGCCTCCAAGCCATGGAGTAAAACCTCCTGGTACTTATCCCAGCTATTTTTGGGTGTTAGTCTCCTATTTTGTTACTTTATGTTCCACAGGGGCTGGAGCGATAGCACAGCAGTAGGGCGTTTGCCTTGCATGCAACCAACATTGCCGACCTGAGTTCGATTCCTCCGCCCCTCTCGGAGAGCCCAGCTAGCTACCGAGAGTATCTTGCTCACACGGCAGAGCCTGGCAAGCTACCCATGATGTATTCGATATGCCAAACACAGTAACAACAAAGTCTCCAATGGAGACGTTACTGGGCCCGCTTGAGCAAATTGATGAACAACGGGAGGACCGTGATCCGTGATCCGTGATGTTCCCCAGATGATCAGATCTTGTCCAGTGTGATCATTCCCAGATTGTCATAACGGACCTTTTTCTCTATTACCTACCCTCAGCCCCCCCACACACTTGTGATTAGTTCTGAACATTGACCAGTCTTCCTACCCCTGTTTTCCCTGGCCCTGGATATTAGTCTTCTACATTTTTTTATGTACACAAATGAATGTGCTCATAAAATGAAGTCTTAAGAAGAACATGCGCTGAAATGTATCAGTAAGACATTTCCCAGTCCCAGGTGTTTCCGGCACCTTGGCGGGTGTGAGTCAATGAATGCCTGTAACCCAGAACTAGATGCGTGTAATTTTTCTGTTTTAGTGTATTCATTTCCATCCTTCTCTTTGTTGTTGCTGTTGTGTTTTGTTGTATTGCATGAGGGTGTCACAGGCACTCTGCTGGTCACATGGACAAGCTCACACTTGTGCTCCTGGTGGTAGGGCTCACACTGGGGTTCTGCTTAGGGCTGTGCTCCACCCCTTGCCTGTCTCTGCTCTGTGGTATGTAGAGGCAGCACACTCCACTGTGCCACCACTGCCCCAAGAGCAGCACCTGCGGGGCCAGTCCTGGTACCGTTTGGCAGCAGCCCCCTGTTAGGGGGGGGTTGAACTCACATCCTTGCACTTGCACGACAGGGGCCTTGTACCCCCAATCTGTTCAGATCCCCCAGGATTTAGTTTTAGGCATCTTAGATAGAAAACACCATCCACTAAGAGAAACTTTTTACCAAGTTGGGAAGTTGACAGAATTATTCACTAAGGGGTATTCTCCTGCCAGAATGAACTGCAGACTTTGGGGCTGGGCAGATAGCTCCCAGGGCCCTGAGAATGACCCCCAGCTCCACATGGCCTCCCAAATTCTGCCTGCTGTAGCCCGCAGCCCCAAATAAGGAACAAAGGAAACAGTCAAAACAGATCAGGGAGACAATTCAAAAATGAATCCCCTCTGGGGGCTGGAGCATAGGGCATTTGCCTTGCATGGGGCCGATCTGGGTTCAAATCCTAGCATCCCATATGGTCCCCTAATCACCGCCAGGAGTAATTCCTGAGTGCAGAGCCAGGAGTAATCCCTGAGTGTTGCTGGTGTAACCCAAAAAGCAAAAAACAAAAACAGATCTCCCCTCCACCCCCAGAACCATGCCAGGCATAGCCTGTGCGTTCCACCAGGATGGCCAAGTTAACCCATGCCCCCAACGCCATAGACTGCAGACTACTTTAAGCTTCTTGACTATTTCCCCCACCCCCTGCGCTCCTGTGAGCAGCTGGGGACCTCCCATGGGCCTGGTCCCAACCTAACAGCAGGTGCTTAATCCTTGCCCGTGCTTCTTTCTCCAGATTTCACCCGAAGCTTGCGTATCACTACTCCGGAGCAGATGATTGAAAAGGCGAAAGGAGAGACGGCCTATTTGCCCTGCAAGTTCACCCTTGGTCAGGAGGACCAGGGTCCTCTGGACATTGAGTGGCTGCTCTCGCCGGCTGATAATCAGATTGTGGACCAAGTGGTAAGTCTTCAGTGCCCGCTTACTCACCAGATGTCTGTGGTACTTGCCTGACGTGTCCAGCACCTTGTGTGCCCAGGGCAGGGGAGGAGCAGGGCCATTGGGACTCTGAAGGGAGCCCCAGATTTTTCAGAATGATTTGCTGTCTGGGGTAAGGACCACTATGATTCAAAGACAAAGAAATAGTGGGGTGCATCTGCAGTGAGGTGAAATGGGTCAGGGGCTAAGAATGGTAGGGAACAAGGGTGAACTGCTGGATACTTTTGAGAAAGCTTTAAGGAGGGTTCAGAATGTCTGCATGAGGAAGTGTGTGGAAGATGGAAGGGCAGAGATGGAGACGTGGAGCAGGCACGAGAGTGTCACGAATGGATCAGAGTCTTGCGTTAGGTGCTGTCGAGAAAATGAGATTTTGTGAAAAGTTAGAATTGAATTTTGTTAAAAATGTTCACACAAAGGAGCTGGGGCAATAGCACATCAGGTAGGGCGTTTGCCTTGCACGTGGCCAGACCCGGGTTCGATTCCCAGCATATGGTCCCCTGAGCATCTCCAGGAGTAACTGCTGAATGCAGAACCAGAAGTAACCCCTGTGCATTGCCGGGTGTGACCCCCCACCCAAAAAAAATGTTCACAGAGATTGTGTTTCCAATATCAATGCCATCAGATATAACAATGTAACAGAGCCTATTTTCGCTACTTCCTGAAGTTAACTATCCTACCTAATAACTTTTTGGTTTTTGGGTCACACCCAGTGGTGCTTGGGGGTTTCTACTGGCTCTGCACTCAGAATTACTCCTGCTCAGGGCATCATATTTGGTACTTATCTCACTTTGTCTTTTAATGGTGCCAGCATATGTTATTTATATATTGTTCTGTTTTTTGTTTTCTGGGGCCACACCAGGCAGTTCTCAGGACTTACTCCTGGCTCTGTGCTCAGGGATCATTTCTGGCAGTGCTGGGATCCCATAGGCAGTGCTGGGGATAGAACCCAGGTCAGTCATGTGCAAGGCAAGTGCCTTACCGTCTGTAATGTTTCTCTGGCGCTTACATTTTTCCTGTGCTGGGGACCAAACCCGGGATTTCACATATGTGAGTCAGGTTCTCTTACCTCTGAAATACCCCAGAGTGTTTGATTTAATTTTAAGTGTTGTAAATTAGTTTTGCCTTGATATGTTTAAATTAGAAATTAGAAGAAAGAAAGAAAGAAAGAAAGAAAGAAAGAAAGAAAGAAACCTGTGTTGATTATAGTAGACCAGGGCCAGAGAAAAATAAATCCAGTTCTATATCTTCAGAGGAATGTGATTTTATGCATTTACTTGGAGGTGTTGTGTTTTTGGGTCACACCCAGCAGTGCTCAGGGCCCCTGGCTCTGAGCTCAGGGTTCCTTCCTGGTGGTGCTCAGGGCACCATATGGGATGCTGGGGATCGAACCCAGGTAGCTGTGTGCAAGGCAGATGTCTTGCTTGTACTCTTTCCAGCTCCTGGAAGAGAAGTTTTATCTTCTTTCTTATGGTTCATATAAAGACGGGGCCTGTTCAGCCAACTTAATGGCCTTGTCCGAGCGTAGCTGGGGAGTTACTATTTTTGGCTCAACCTGGCAGTTGGCTTACGATACGTTGGTGAAGAAAATAATTAAGGTACTTTCCTGAACTGTGAATGATCCCAGCTAGAAACAAACCTTTCCCTTGACTTGCTGCAGGAACTTCCTTCTGCCTTCGTAAGCAAAATCACTTAAGCCTGACTCATTCTGTGTACTCAGCCCACATACCTGTCCCCTGCTTTGTTCTTTTCTTTGCCATCAGCGTTGGCCACAGGCAGAATACAGGCTTCTGACTGAGGCGGCCCCCCCCCCCCCCCCCCCATTCCCTCGCCAGCGCCAGGCCCACCTTCGCTTTCAAGTCTTAGACTCTTGGGGCTGGGGATGTGGCTCAGTGGTCGCCCACTTGCTTTGCTTGGTAAATAAAGCCCTGGGCTTGATTCCCAGCGTGACTTCCCCAAAGGAAAAATGTGTATAGAGTTCAGGATCCTGTCACACAGGAATCGATGAAGAGCAAAGGTCTGAGATGCGTCTGGCTTACATAGCTTGCATTGTGTATCCGGAGACCAAGCATAGTATGTCCTGCCAGCTCAGAAAGAGGACCCAAAATTATTCATGCTGACTGTGGGCAGTGATAGCCTGTCTTGCAGGGCTTGGTGTGAGGCCTGGGACTTGTAAGATAGGTACGGAGAGAGAACTGGGTTTTCCACGTCTGTGTCTGGATGATCTGAGTCTCTGTATTAAAACACGAGAAAGGCCAAAGAAAGGGGGCTCAGCAAGAGACTGGCACATAAGAGCATTCTTTTCAGTTATTTATTGTATGGGTTTAAACCCAGGTATCTGGGATCCCCTCTCCCCAGCCCCATCTTCATTAAAATTAACCTTTCTTTGCACCAGGCTATACTGTCCCCTCCCCTCCTCCCGTGTTGTATAAATTTCTTTTTCCTTAAAAAGTAAGATAGGAATGGGTGGACCAGCCTCTCAACATTGTGGTGAATGCTTGTGTGTGCAAGCTTTTGGTAAGCTTGAAATTGCTTAGAGGGCCGGTATGTTAGTGCAGCGGGTAGGGCGATTGCTTTGCAAGTGGATGGCTCAGGTTCGATTCCCAGCGTCTCACATGATCCCCCAAGTCATGCCAGGAGCAACCCCTGAGCACCACTGGGTGTGACCCAAAACCAAAACCGAAACCAAACAAAAAAAGAACTTGCTTAGAAACATCGACAAGGAAGTTTATTCTGCCCATCCAAATCATTCGGCTGTGGGACCTTTTATAAGAGATGATTTCTGAAAACCCCCAGATAAAACATAGGTGACGCCCACAGGCTTGCAGAGTTACAGAGAGGAATCAGAATTGCTTGGTAAATGTTAGTTCTCTGTTTGAGGCTGGGGGAGGGTGTGTGCATCAGGTTTACAAAACACCTAGCAGTGGAGACTTTCCTGCAAAGGCTGTTACAGGGCTTCCGTACTGTTCTGGTCCCAGCCGCCACCTCGCCCTCCCCCTACCTGTGCCATGTGAAGGGCCCGCACCACAGCTCCTGCCCACCATCACCCGGTGCTGCTCCACCACTCCCGGGTAGGCTCACCTCTGCCTGGTATCCCCTGGCCTGTTCCGAGCGGGAGTTCAGAGCCCCCTTCTACCCTTTCTGCCTGGTGGAGCCCAGCAGCCGCCTGTGCCACGTTATGGGCCATGCCACAGCTCCTGAAGTACGCAGCTGCGGATGCGACAGCTCTGCCCAACACATTCCATGCTGCTCACGTTCCTGTTTTTGTGTGAGGAGAGAAGACAGAGCAACCTCCAGCTCCATCCCTTAGTGGTTTCCAGGGTGGGCAACTGCAGAGATTCACCTCCCAGAACATGAAAAGCTAGAAAAGCGGTGGGGAAAATACATAGCCCACCAGGCTCAGGGAGCAAAGCCAGTATCGCTGAAGGCATAAACAGCACCAGGTCCTCCTCAGGCAATGTCTTCAGTGACATCAGACTTGCTCATGAGGATGTTTGAAGAGTTCAAAGAAATTATAACACAGATAGTCAGTAAATATGGCAAAGTATGAGAGACGAAATGAAAGCCCTATTACCGTCAGAAACGTCAGAAATAAGAACATGGTAGGTGGTGTAAAAGTCAATAGGAGCTCTGAACTGCAGAATAACCGAAGCTGAGCAAAAGATCAAGGAGCTCCAGGAAGAGGAGGAAACTGCTGGAAAACAGCAGAAGGTGGAAAATAGCCTGAAGAGAAACGAACAGCATACCAGAGAACTATGGGATGACTTCAAGAGGGGCAGTGTGAGAATCATTGAAGTCTCTGAGCAACAGGAAGGCAAATGTGAAGAAATAATAGTTAAGGGGGCTGGAGCGATAGCACAGAGGGTAGGGCATCTGCCTTGGGCGCGGCTGACCCGGGTTCGATTCCCAGCATCCCATATGGTCCCCTGAGCACTGCCAGGAGTAATTCCTGAGTGCAGAGCCAGGAGTAACCCCTGTGCATAGCCAGGTGTGACCCAAAAAGCAAAAAAAAAAAAAAAATTGTTAAGCAAATCATCAATAAGAACTGTCCAGAGTTAAGGGTTATAGGCACCGAGATCTAGGAGGTCCAAAGGGTCCCAGTGAAAACAGACCCAATTAGGAAAATGCCAAGACACAGAATATTCAAGATGACAAAATTCAGAAATAGAGACAGAATATTGAATGCTACAAGATCAAAAAAGGAATTTATATATAAAAAAGGAAAGTCCATAAGATGTATAGCAGATCAATCAAATGAGCCAGAGTAATATGGTTAGTACAAAACCTCAATGTGACCACCTCATCAAGAATCTCAGCTAGATTATCATTCAGATTTGAAGGACTCTACAGAGGTTCATGACAGCAGCTTAGGGAATTCCTAGCTTTGAGACCAGTTTTGCAAGAGGCATTGAAGGAACTCCTTTAAAGGACAGGGAACACAGGAGACGCTCCCCATCGGGGGCATTGAGTGTGGCCCCACTAATGGTTGCTTGTGGCTGTCCTCTACTAGATTGAGAAAGGTTAAAGGCATAGAGCAATTAATCATCAGAATAGACTATTTATTTCCTGATAATTCTGTTTGCCATTCCTTTCCGTTTTATTAGACCGGCTGACAGAAAATAATTTTGTCGTATCCTTGCCCAGGAGGCAGATTGAGAGACGGGAGGGAACCTGGAGGTATTGGTGTAGGGAACGGGGTGTTGATGGTGGGATTGGTGCTGGCATGTTATATGCCTGAAACAGCACTATTATGAACAGGTTTGCAAATCACAGTGTCTCAGTAAATGTTCCTGGAAAAAAAATAAAACATGATTACAGAGAGAGGGGAGTGGAGTGGGGGAGGGAGGAAGTTGCAAATATAACAGCGAGCATTAAGCTTTTCACAACAAAGGTGTCCATAGTCAAATACAAGGGAAGGTATGACCATTTCTTTCCGGGCATTCTCACTGTTACTGTTGACAAGCGGGTGTGACAAGAAAATGGAAGAAATAATGACTTGATGTTGACTCAAGTGCTGCTTTCATGTCTTAGCAAAATCCGTAGAGTGCCAGCTCCATGCAGGTACCTCATGTGTAAACCAAAGACCCGTAGAGGGTGAAGGGTGGAATCGGCGTAGGAGAGAAGATGAGCTCTTTAATTTATAAATGACATGCTCGAGGTTCACTTGGATCACAGGGCTTCACTGGAGTTTTAAGCCAGAAAGGAACCCATGTCCTACTCTCAAAATTCCTACAGCTAGCCCTTGTTATTAGGAAAACTTACCTGTCATCATCTGGTAATAATCGTCTCCGAAATCATCAGATGAAGACTGCAGTTGTATTTTCTGAAAAATTTTTGGGGTGGGGAGGTGGCACCATGGATCCTTGCCCCTTGGGTCACAGATAATGAAATTTGGATGATTCTATTAGCAAATATGAAAAATGATTAAATGTATCAAAGTATATATATATATATTTATTTATTAGTATCACCATGAGGTACAGTTACAGACTTACAGACTTTCGTGCTTGCATTTCAGTTACACAATGGTCGCGTATACATCCCTCCACCATTGCCCATTTTCCACCATCAATGGCCACAGTACTCCTCCCACCACCCCTACCCTGTCCCCCCCACCCCACCCCACCCCGCCTCTGTGGCGGGGCATTCCCTTTTGCTCTCTTTCCTTTTTGGTGTTGTGTTTTGCAATAGAGGCATTAAGTGGCCATCATGTTTGGTCTAGTCTTACTTTCAGCGTGCATCTCCCATCTCGAGTGGATCCTCCTAGCACCCTTTACTTGGTGGTCCCTTCTCTATCTGAGCTGCCTTTTCCCCCAGCATGCTAGGCTTCTAAGCTGTGGAGTAATCCTCTTGGTACTTACCTCTACTATTCTTGGGTGTTACTCTTCATTCTGTTACTTTATATTCCACAAATGAGTGCAGTCTTTCTATGTCTGTCCCTCTCTTTCTGATTCATTTCACTTAACATGATATCAAAATAAATTTTAGTGATAGAGATTATTGAGATTCCCTTCAGGTGAGGTTTTATGCAATTTATCTTCTCTCTAAATCTAACTTGGTTATTTTTATCAAAGCCCATAATAGCAGCTCAGAAAACCCAGTTGGGATTAGGAATGTGTCTGCTTTCTGTCACACAAGATCTATTGAGATCTTGTGTTAATGTGGAGAACATAACTTAAGAGGTTCATTTTAGAATTTTATTTAATATTCTACAACCCTCAATTGTTTCCAACTTAAATTGCAAAGTTCTAATTCTTATTAGATTCCATAGGTAGGGTGAGGTGTTTGTGGGCTGTGGTGGTGTGAATGGATCAGGTTTTATATACATGATTGCAGCTGAGAAATGGAGTGTCTCAGAGTGAACAAATCTATGTTCTTGTCCAGTTTTACCAAATGAGTATTTAACCTAGCCCCCAGGGCTATATTAGGGTGGGTGTTGGTTTCCCTATTTAAAATAAAAGTATGCAACCACTCCCAAGGCTCTTTATATGCCATGTTCTCCTTTTGTTGTGTGTTTTAATTCCACAGTGTCGTGTATGTAGCGCTCCTACAGTCAGACAGAAGCTTGGTTCTCTGATGATTGTTTTTTGTATTTTGGTTTCTTTTAGATTATTCTATATTCTGGAGACAAGGTTTATGAAGACTACTATAAAGATCTGAAAGGACGAGTACACTTTACAAGCAATGATCTCAAATCTGGCGATGCATCAATAAATGTCACAAATCTACAGTTGTCAGATATCGGCACTTACCAGTGCAAAGTGAAAAAAGCCCCTGGTGTTGGCAATAAGAAGTTTCAGCTCACAGTTCTTGGTAAGTTACTTGTGTTCACGTTACATATTCAAAGGACGAACGCTCACAATACAGAGTATGAGCAATATTTATATAAAATAAAGCCTGATGAGTTACTTAGAGTAATCTAAACATTTGATGCAGTTTTACTGTCCTCAAGATAAAGCGGAAGGTTAACACACTTTTTTTTTTTTTAATGGAAAAATAAGGTATTGGGGCTGCAGGGATAGCACAGCAGGTAGGGAGTTTGCCTTGCACGTGGCTGACCTGGGTTCAATTCCCAGCATCTCATATGGTCCCCAAAGCACCGCCAGGAGTAATTCCTGGGTGCAGAGCGAGGAGGAACCCCTGAGCATCACCAGGTGTGTCCACAGTAGCAAAACTGAAGATAGTACAGAAACAGAGGAAGGCTAAGACATCTGCGTTCCATGTGGCTGTTCCTCGGTATGCTGGGGATTGAATCAGGTCAGCTGCGGGCAAGCCAAGTTCCCTACGCACTATACTATAGCTCCAGCCACATGTCTCATTTTTCTCACCTGCCTTCTCCCTAACCTCCCACTGTCCCCTGTGCTGGCATTTGAACCCGTACTGCAAGGCAAGTGTTCTTCCTGAGCCACCTCCCTGACCTCACTGGTAGTTTGTCTTAAAGTGCTTTTGCGCATGCGCGTTCTCTCTCTCTCTCTCTCTCTCTCTCTCTCTCTCTCCCCCCCCTCCCCCCTCTCCTTCTCCCTCTCTCCCTCCCTGTCCTTTCCCTCTATCTCTCTCCTTCTCCCCCTCGTCCTACCTCCCTCCCCCCTCCCTCTTTCTCCCTCTCACCCTCTCCTCTCCCTCCCTTGGAGACTAGGAGACAATGGAAACTACAAAGTCTTTGCAAGTTCAAAGACTGTATGTTTATTATCCTCCTCAACACTCTGTGCTCTTGTGTAAACACATTAGCCCCTCCTTGTCTCTGAAGGTTATTATTCATTAATAGACGTGTAAAACCCTGTTGCGCATGGCCTGCTCACTCTCAGGGTTGCCCACTCCTTTGCCTCTTTTGCCCTTAGCTTCTTGTTTTTATCAGTGCCTTGGAGCATGCTCCCTTGACCTTAGCTTCTTGTTTTTATCAGTGCCTTGGAGGAGCTTCCCCCCTCCTTCATAAAATGTATGATTTTTATCCTAAAAAAAAAAAAACGAACAAACCCTACTGTGGTACTCGTGCTACACAAGTGGAAGGTGACCTTGTAGTAAACAACTGTTCTGTATAAATCCCTCTACTTTGTGCCCTGAGGTTTCTTGTTCAGGGATGTTTTGAGGGGACCCATTTTGTACAAGAAATGCTGATTGTCAGAGTTGTCTGCTATGGCCCTGGAGGAAACTAATCAAGGCACGGCTTTCCCGGATCATATTTTGCCTCTTTCTTTTTGAGAAAACAGATTGGGGCGGGGTGCAGGGAGACAAGAAGCTGAGGCTTAATTTGAACCTTCCTGTTTTCTAAAAACTAACAAGAGAGCCTGGGAGCAAGAATGTAGGTTATTGTGGAGCCTAGTGGCACCTTTGGGTTCCCGTGGCTGCTGGCCTAACCGGTTGTTTCGTGGAGAGTGGCCATGCAGGGGGCTGTGAACATTCAGAACCCACCTTCAGAACGTTTCCTGTGTCATGAAAGCGAGTGGACCTGAACAGGGAACCAGGACAAGAATATGATGATGTTGGGAATTGAAGCTGTCTTTCTGAGTGTAATTGAACCTACTTGGGGATGCCTTTCCCTCCCTTCTTTTCTTCCTTTCTTTTCTTGCTTTCCTTTCTCTTTCTTTCCTCTTTCTGTTTCTCCTTTCTTTTTTTTCTGCCCCCCCCCCCCATTTCCTTCCTTTCTTTCTTCTTGGTTTTTTTTTCTTTTTCTGTGAAGAGCTGGGTCATACCTGGTAGAATACGGGGCATCGCTCCTAAGTGGTCCTCAGGGGACCATGTACGACTAGGAATGAAACCCAGCCCTCCCTCATGCCAAACTTTTCCCCTTTTGATCTCTTTCTCTCTCCAGCCCAGTACTTTCATTGCATGAATGTGCAAGCAGGTAAAAGTGTTAATTTGTCTGAGCACTTATTCCAGACCCAAACATAGTTCAAATTATTTTCTTTCTCTCTCCCTCTCCTTCTCCCCTTTGGTTCTGGAGCCATGTCTAACAATGCTGCGAGCTCCCTCTCCTCTGTGCTTGGGGAGCACCAAGTGCTGGGGCTCAGACCCTGGCCTTTTGCAGACAAAGCATTCCCTCAGCTCCTTTGGGCTGTCTCTGTGCCCTGACTAGATTTTTATATGTTCTTGCATCGCCACTGACCAGGAAGGACTGAGTTAAAATATAAGTGGAGTCTTAACTAATTCATGATGTACCAATCAGAGCATACCTGTTTGTTGGGAAATCCCTGAAACTGCAGGCATACCAGGAGGACTCCAGTTGGCATTGTATTTCCGGAAGAGTTGTGAATAAGCACTGTGTGTGTGTGTGTGTGTGTGTGTGTGTGTGTGAGAGAGAGAGAGAGAGAGAGAGAGATTTAAATTAATTTGTCACTGTCACTGTCCTCCCGTTGTTTATCATTGTTCATCAAGCGGGCCCAGTAACATTTCCATTGTGACACTTGTTACTGTGTTTGGCATATCAAATACGTCATGGGTAGCTTGCCAGGCTTTGCCGTACGGGCAAGATACTCTCAGTAGCTTGCTGGGCTCTCCGAGAGGGGTGGAGGAATTGAACCTGGGTCGGCCAGGCTGGCTGCATGCAAGACCAATGCCTTACCCGCTGTGCTATCACTCCAGCCCTAAATTAATTGGGGCAAAGTAAGGAAACTCTTAGGGCATTGCTTCCTGCTGGCTAGAAGGAAGGGTGCCTTCACGCTCATTCTCTCAACCCGGCCACACAGAGGGACAGGTAACACAGTAACTAATGTTATGTTTGGGGGAGTCCCAGTGGCTAAGCCAGGGCTCAGTTCCAAGCAGGGAAAGAGAGGGGAACGGAATTAAAGGGCTCAGAAGTATTTCCGTAAGGAAGAGGGGTCACTTGTTACTCTCAGCTGGAGAGAGGAGAATTTTTTTCCCGAGTTTTTATTTTTATTGAATCACCATGAGAGCATTACAAAATTGTTCATGATTGCATTCAGTCATAGAATGTTCCAACACCCATTCCCCCACCAGTGTAATTTCCCCAGCACCAGTGTCCCCAGTTTCCCTCCCACCCCTTCTAGTCACCCCACACCCCCAGCCTGCGTCTATGCAGGTACTTCTCCTCCCTTTTCTCTCTCTCTCTCTCTCTCTCTCTCTCTCTCTCTCTCTCTCTCTCTTTCTCTCTCTCTCTCTGTCTCTCTCATTTTAGCCGTTATGGTTTGCTATACGGATGCCGAAAGGTTATCAGTATATCCCTTTACCTTATTTCAGTACTCAGTTCTTGTCCAGAGTAGTATTGTCATAATGGACCTTCCTCCATCTTAACTACCCTCCATATCCCACACCATTGAACATTTTTTTCTTCTTTTTTGGGAGGTGGGGGGGGATCACACCCAGCGATGTTCAGGGGTTACTCCTGGCTCTACACTCAGGAAATTACTCCTGGCGGTGCTTTGGGGACCATATGGGGATGCCAGGGATTTAATCTGGGTCGGCCGCATGCAAGACAAGCGCCCTACCCTCTCTGTACTATCACTCGCACCCCATTGAACAAACATTGACCAGTCCTCCTGCCCCATTTTCCCTGGCCTTGGATATTAGTTTCATACTGCATTTTTTTTTTTAAAGTCCCACAAATGAATGCAGTCATTCTATATCTGTCCCTCTCCTTCTGACTCACTTCACTCAGCATGCTACTGGACAGGAGAATTTTATTTTTGAGTGGGGGGCCTTTTTGGGTCACACCTGACGTTGCACAGAGGTTACTCCTGGCTCATGCACTCAGGAATTACTCCTGGCAGTGCTCAGGGGACCATATCGGATGTTGGAAATTGAACCCAGGTCGACCACAAGCAAGGCAAACCCCCTAACCGCTGTACTATTGCTCCAGCCCTTTGGACAGAAATTTTTTTTTTTTTTTGCTTTTTTGGGTCACACCCGGTGATGCACAGAAGTTACTCCTGGCTCTGCACTCAGGAATTACTCCTGGTGGTGTTGAGGGGACCATATGGGATGCTGGGAATCGAACCCCGGTCGGCTGCGTGCAAGGCAAATGCCCTACCTGCTGTGCTATTGCTCCAGCCCAAGGACAGGAGAATTTCTTAATCAGCCCTCTCCTGTGTTTGCCCATGAGCCATGACTACCCCTGGGAAAACCCACCTGCATTTTCGCTGCAGGGTGAAAGCTGGGAGGAAGTGATGTTCATTGTGGGGGAGGACTGTGCAGTGTGGCACAGTCTGGGGGAGAGACAAAGGGTTGCTGTTCTGGGATGAGCAGGAATAGTGGTCCCGGGGCTCACTCACGGAGTCAGAGGACCTTCCTCTCGGCTTGTGTGTGGGAAACTTAGGACCGGTCACCGGCTATTCACACAGTGTGAATGGAAGGCTAGGGGCTGTATGGACAGCGTCCAGCAGGGCACAGGGTCAGTCCCTGGCACCCCCCGTTGTGCTCCTCGAACACTGCCAGGGGTGATCCCTGAGCACAGAGTCAGGACTCAGACCTGAGCACTGCTGGGTGTGGCCCGAAGCAAAGCAGAACAATGATTCATGGAACCAGAGGTGGACGCTGTGTGGAAGTGGACTGGAACGGCTGTTGGCTGCCTATGTGCGTCAGGTACCCTGCTGCCCCGGCCAGCCCAGTTGGGGTAGCCTGCTGGTGGCTGCTTGAAAACCACAAGCTAAAGGAGCTGAAAGGGGCCGGTGACAGCAGAGACCGAGGATGGGCACGCTTCCCCCACACCTTCCCTGGGACCTTCTGAAAGGCCCTTTGAAGCCTTTGATGTGAACAGCTCGTGTTCTTTCCATGGCAGAGCGGCCTCAATTAACAGTTGCCTGGCTGGCTCCTGGTGACTTCGGAAGAGAGTCAGCTAGCTGCAGTGTGGGAACTGCATGAATGGCGCTAGTTTGGTCAGCATCGGCCCTGGGGGAGGAGTACAGAGCAAGGCTTTATGGTTTTGATTATTCTCCTGCCATGTGTTTACTTTTCGTGCAACTGACCTGGGCTCCATCCGCAGTACCACATGGTCCCCCCGCATCACTGCCAGGAGTCTTCCAGAGCGCAGAGCCAGGAGTAACGTCAGAGCACTGTTGGGTGGAGCCCAGTAGCAAACGATAAAGAATTCTGGTCTGTACACTGGTATGAGTCCCTCTGAAGCCTTACAGTGACGCAGGTTAGCCAGGCCAAAAAGTAGCTGCTGTGTTTTCCCGATTCTGTGGTGCTGGGTCACACAAACCCAAACCTATAAGGCTTACCACCTACTTTTCAGAGAAGAGTTGACTCAGAGCATTGCAGTTGCACCCAAGCTTATTAAAGTACATCCCCCCAAGAGGACCCCCTAAACCCTCCATGAATCCCAGGAAGCCCTAGGGATTGAAAACTAGTCATCTCCCCTGATAGAGATTTTCCAGGGCTATGATAGGAACCTTAGCAGGGATGGTGAGATGGTTGAAGCTTTTGTTGTGATTGCTGCTGTTGGGTTTTTTGTTGGTTGGTTGGTGGGGGTGAGGGGGTGTGGGGCATATCTGTCTGTCTCAGGGCTTTATCCTGGCTCTATGCTCATGAATCACTCCTAGCAGGACTCAGAATACCATAAGGAGTGATAGAGGTAGGTGTGTGTTGTCGTGTGTGTGTGTGTGTGTGTGTGTGAAATATGTTCATTTTATTGTATGTATGTTAGACTTTAATAAAGTTCAGCAGAGAAGTTTGGTGAACCACCATGATGTTGCCCCAGTTTGGAGTGCCTCTGGGTACGTCGAGGCATCCCTCAACCTGAGGCTCCCACCTCAGAGCGCCTTTCCTCTGGATGTTTCGGGGTTAATGGAAATGCAGAATGCTAATTGGTCCTTGCTGTTGTCCGTGTTATCTGCCTCATTTATTACTAATCCCACCGCCTGCCACCTCGGACTGTGACATGGCCTGTTCCCCCAGGAGGTTCCCTGTCACGGCCAGAGTAGAAGAATGGGTAAGGACGGCGTCGAGGGGGTCGCTTCCCGGAGTCTGCAGCGGCCCCGCTTGCATCAGCCTTGCTTCTCTCGGGCATGCCCCAGGGAACGGAGGGGCCTCGCCAGCTGTGTGTGAGATGCACCCAGTCCCCGCCTGCTGCGGCTGCCTGCCTGAGCTCATGCGTGCGTGCTCTGTGCCGGGCAAAGCTGAGCCAGTTCGTGTTGATGGCCTCGTGTATCTGTGGGTCCTGCCAGGTGGCCGGGCCAGCGGTTATGCAGTTATGCGGCATGCTGTGTGTCAAAGCCATTGTTGGAAGCATGCAGCATATAGTTTCCATTTATAAAAGTCACTTATTTTCTCTTCTCAGTGAAGCCTTCCGGGACGAGATGTTCCATCGATGGATCAGAAGAAATCGGAAACGACTTTAAACTGAAGTGTGAGCCAAAAGAAGGTTCACTTCCATTGCGATATGAATGGCAAAAGTTGTCGAATTCACAGAAACTGCCCACCTCGTGGTTAGCAGGTACTGTCCATGGTCTGTTCTGTACCTTGGGCCATTAAGACTTAAATCTGTGTGCATATGTGCATGTGTGTAAGCATAATTCCTGAATGGACAAAGAAACTACTCCAATGTGCCAACGTTAAGACTTTAATTGAAACACTCTGTGAGAATGATAGACTTAATTCTGTATGTGTGTGTGTATGTGTAATTCCAGAATAGACAAACAAACTGCCCACTTCATGGCAAATGTGCCATTAAGGCTTAAATTGAAACACTATGTGAGAATGATCCTGTCCCTTTTCTGTACTAAGTAATCTAGATTCCATGGAAATTCGTATGTTATAATAACATATGCCATGCAACATAAATAAAAAGATGTTTTTATAATGATTTCACCTTTTAGGATAGTTTAGTCAATCACTTTGGTATGTGCTCTTAAAATTGATGACCAGACGGAATAGAAAATGTTCTCAGTCATAAATGAGTAGCTAAATTACAACATGAATTGTGTATTTGGTATTTCGCCTGAATGCATGTTGAAGTTGTGATTATTTATGCATTGCATGTCTTTATAAAAACAAAAACAAAAAGCTTCAGATCGGTGTATCTATTATTTACCTGAAGTGAATGGTTACTAGAGTACCTTGCTCCCATCTCTCTACTCACTCTGATTTTAGATAGAATTTCTCTCTTCTATTTTTTTCCCCCGTTGAACTTAAGAGATCAATCTAATATTATAACCTTTCTCCGACTTTCTTTTGTGTGTTATCTCCCTTCTGGGGGATGGAAATTGGTTTTGCAGATCTTTCTGCCGCACCAAAGGGCTTTTGTGGCATGGGGTGTTTTGTCAGCGTCTGTGGCTCTGGTCCAGCTGCTTCTCTTTCCCTGTCATGGTTGCTTTTGTCTCGAGACAGATGAGCCCGGGGCATGGCGCTGTGCATTTTGGGGCTGGGCATGTGGCTCCTGGCAGTTTTGTTCAGTCTTTGTCTCGCTTTTACTCGTATTGTCTAATTGGGCAGGATTTGCCCTTACTAAACAATTTCATCTGTACAGTTCTATGAAAATGAGGTTTGCTTTTCTTTCCCTAGATATGAATTCACCGGTTATCTCTGTCAAGAATGCCACCACCGAATACTCTGGGGTGTACAGTTGCACGGTCAAGAACAGAGTGGGTACCGATCAGTGCATGCTCCGCCTGGATGTGGTTCCTCGTAAGTATTGTCATGCTTCCTGTCGTGATGACTTTCTTTGGTGCTCTTTCAATGGCTGCTATACTACTGGCAGCTTATAGTGAGTGATAGGAGATGTCAGCTGAGGAATGCTTTCTGTGGCTTCGTATTGAGTTTTTTCTAAGACATGGAAAGAGGAAAAATGACACACTTAAAACATTCTTCATTATGTTCTTAAAACATTCTTCATTATGGTAGTAACATGAGACAGGTAAACAAGGTCAGGGCACGCTAAACATTTATTTAGCCATTTAGAATTTATACAACATTTGTACAAGCCATTTAGAATTTTCTTTTTAAAAATTAATTTTATTATTGTTTGGGGTGTGTGTGAAGCAAGATAGTTTATATTGAAACTTATTTAGAAAGATGTAAGGGGAAAGAAAGAGTGAAGTGTGTGTTCAAGAGAGAACACAGGCATCTCCAGAGTAGACAAAGAAACAAATGAGCAAGCAAAGAAACAGAGACAGGTGAGGTATGTGTTCTAGGGAGTCTACGGGCTTCAAGAGCAAGTCTAGGGCTGGAGTGATAGCACAGCAGGTGGGGCATTTGCCTTGCATGCGGCTGACCCAGGTTCGATTCCCAGCATCCCATGTGGTCGCCCGAGCACTGCCAGGAGTAATTCCTGAGTGCATGAGCCAAGAGTAACCCCTGTGCATTGCCGGGTGTGACCCAAAGAGCAATAAAACAAAACAAGTCTATTGGAATATTCTCACAGATCAGAGATAGTAAGTGAGTAGGTGCTAGCTTGTGTGCAGCTGACCTGGCTTTGATCCCCAGTACCTCATGGTTCCCCAATACCTGCCAGGAGTGATCCCCAAGCACAGAACCATTAGTAAGCCCTGAGCACCATTACGTGTGTGCACCTCCCTCCACGAATACATTATTCTTAAGTATCAAGAAAATATAAAGATTAGAATATTAGCCTAGTTTTATTATTTATTACATCTGAAATATAGGCACAGCTCAGATATTGCGGGTTGGTTCCACAGCACTTTTGTTGTGGAGTATTGCTGGTTGGACCACTGCAATAAAGCAAATATTTTCAATGAGAAATGAGTCAGAAAGAGAGGGATAGACATAGAAAGATTCTGTTCATCTGGGGGATATAAAGTAGCAAAATATGAGATTAATACCCAAGAATATCTGAGATCAGCACCAGGAGGATAACTCCATAGCTTAGAGGCCAGCCGGGCATTCTAGGGGAAAGGGCAGCTCAGATAGAGAAGGGAGCACCAAATAAAGGGTGTTTGGAGGATCCTCCCAGGAGCGGAGATGCATGTCGAAAGTAGACTATGGACTGAACATGTCCACTCAATGCCTCTTTTGCAGACCACAACACCCAAAAGGAGAGAGAGAACACAAGGAATTGCCCTGCCACAGAGGCAGGGGGGGATGGGAGGGATGAGGGTGGGAGGGATATTACCCATGGTGGTGGAAAATGGGCACTGGTGGAGGGATGGGTATTTGATCATTGTATAATCGAAACCCAAGCACAAAAAATTGTAAATCTACAACTGTACCTCATGGTGTTTCACTAATTAAAAAAAAAGAAAGCTACCAATAATAGATCTTTCCAACAATAAAAAAAATATTTTCAATGAAGCATACCACAAGAATTCAGTTTATATTAAAGTTACAATTGTACCAGGTATAGCATTAAATAAGCATTATGTCGAAAATAACAATGTATACACCCTGTTTAAAAATTACTAAAAAAATTGTTGCAACTTTAGGGAAAATGGCTCCAAGAAATTTATTTGACTTTGGGTTGCCATAGGGACTTCAGTTTGTGAAAATAAATGCAGTGTGGGTGAAGCACAATAAAAGCAAATGCAATGAAGCCCATGCCTATAAAGGGTTGCCTACAATGCATGTTGTTCAGAAGAAAATTCTTTCAGTGAATTTTTTCTGTCAAAAAGAAGCCAATCTTTTATCTCAGTATTGAACAAATGTATGCAATTAAATTAATCAATGCATAACCTTTTGATACAATGTGGTTTTTCCCCCCCCTTTTTTAACTATCGATGCTGTCACCACCATCTAGCTTCAAACAAAGCTGGGACAATTGCAGGAGCTGTTATAGGAATTTTGCTTGCGCTTGTGCTCATTAGTATAGTCATCTTCTGCTGTCGTAAGAAGCGCCGAGAAGAAAAATACGAAAAGGAAGTTCATCATGATATCAGGTAAATGGCACAAGAGTCAACTGTTGTATATGAAATACTTCATGTCTCTAAGGTATACTTTGGGGGGGAGGCAATGTTTGGGGGGGTGGGCACATCCGGTGGTGCTCAGAGCATTCTTCTGTCTCTGTATCAGGGATCATTCCTGGCGGGGCTCAGGGGGACCATATGGGGTACCGGGATCAAACATGGGTCATCTCTGTGCAAGGCAAGTGCCTTAGGGCACGTACCATTCTCTAGCCCAGCATTCACTTTCTTAAGTTTGCCGTCTTCCTCTCTGAGAATAGACTAGAGGCCATAGTTGTGTTTTGCCCATTAGCACATTTGGGAGCTTTGACTTTCGAGTGTCCAACCGTCCTTTGTGCTGAAGTGACTCCAAATGCTTAGCTCTGGGTCATCTACCTTCTCTCAGTAAAACGCAGGCATGGAATCATTAAAAAATGGAACACTTGTTAAGTTTAAAAAAAAAAAGAAACAACATGTGATATAAATGTCTGGTTTATAGAACTCTTGGCATGGTGAATTTTGTGGGTTTATTTCTAGTTTTACTCAGAGGTCATTGACCTGTTACTGTACAGGTTAAGGAATGTACCATTGATTTAACTTAGATATTATGAAATAATTACTGCAGTAGTTTTAGCTACCCTTCTCCCCTCACCACCACCCTGTTAAAAATAGGCAAAGCCCGGGCAGGGTGCTTGCCTTGCACACAGCCAACTCTGGTTCCATCATCAGCATCCCCATGGGTCCCCTGAATCCTACCAGGAATGAACCCCAAACAAAAAGCCAGGAGTAAGCACTGCCAGATGTAGTCCAAAACAAACAAACAGTGAGAGCCAATGGACATTGATTAAAGGTGCATATTGAACTAAAGTGCTTTTTTTTTCTTTTTTCTTTTTTTTTCTTTTCTTTTTGGGTCATACCCAGTGGTGCAGAGGGGTTACTCCTGTCTCTACACTCAGGAATTACTCCTGGCGGTGCTCAGCGGACCATATGGGATGCTGGGAATCAAACCTAGGTCCGCCGAGTGCAAGGCAAATGCCCTACCCACTGTGATATCGCTCCAGTCCTATAGTGCTATTTTTTGTGGGGGGAGGCACACCTGTCTCTGCTCCAGGGCTATTTCTGACTCTGTCAAGGGGTACCTGACCCTGACTGTCCTTGGGGTACTGTATGCAGTTTCAGGGCTTTGACCATCGTTGACTGCATTGCAAGGCAAGAACTTTAACCCAGGTAATATTGAATTACAGTATTTCTTAAGTAGTGTGGTAGGGGGGAGTCTGTACTTATGTCACCCCCAGGAGATTGCATATGGTGGCCTGGGGCACAGACTGGACACATTGTTTTGAAATGCACTAGAGGTAAATCAGGCACATATATTGTCCTAGTGCTCAGTGTGAAACTTTTATGTCCAGATTCCCAGATTTTTTTTTCTTTCTTCTTTTTGGCTCATACCGTGATATGCACAGGGGTTACTCCTGGCTCTGCACTCAGGAATTACTCCTGGTGGTTCTCGGGGGACCATATGGGATGCTGGGAATCGAACCCGAGTCAGCCGCGTACAAGACAAATGCCTTACCTGCTGTGTTATCGCTCCAGCCCCCAGATTTTCAGTTTTTACAAGCTTGAGTCTGCTAAATTTTCAGCTTCAATCTTAGATAACATTTGTAATGAGGATTTTCCCCCCCCTCTCTTGGTAGAAGTATTACAAGAATCGCCAGTGTTTTATCAGTGATAAAATATTAAACAGCAAATAATATGGCCATCTTGGTCAGTTATACCAGCTGAAATTATTTGATAGATGTTCCTTATAGAACATCATAGAATGGACTGTGTTTTTGTAAAAATTGTATTTCACTGTCTCTGAAGGTACAGACCTTGAAAAGGATAAATCCGGGGGCGAGTAACAACAGTTCACAGTACACCTTCATTACTGCACTCGCTTTTGTGTGCGTGTGACACACTGTTAGGTTTTTTTACTTCCTGGCTAACGGGGAGTGTTGGCTTTGGGGAAATGTGAGGGTTGAACTTGTCTGGGCGCTTGATTTCTCAGGGAAGACGTCCCGCCGCCCAAGAGCCGCACGTCCACAGCCCGCAGCTACATTGGCAGCAACCACTCCTCCCTGGGCTCCATGTCCCCGTCGAACATGGAAGGCTACTCCAAGACGCAGTACAACCAGGTGCCCAGCGAGGACTTGGACCGCGCGGCGCAGAGCCCGACGCTGCCCCCCGCCAAGGTAGCGGCCCCTAACCTTAGCAGGATGGGAGCGGTGCCCGTGATGATTCCCGCCCAGACCAAGGACGGCTCGATCGTATAGAGCCCCCCGCCCTGCTGCGGCGCCCTCCACCTTGCGCCTCCTCTTCCAAAATGCGAACACTTACTCGGGTCAGAATTGTCTCACTAGCCTCAAAGTATATCGCAGAAGATACTCATCATCGCCGTGAGAGATGGACATCCACAAAGTCTTGGTTTGGTGACACTGAGATAGGAGAGGCATTCCGCTTACTAAAGACAAATTCACCAGGTGGAAAACATCTTTCCTGTCGGAGGTTGGCTTTGATAGGTTTCTTCTAGATGTCAGTGCTGGAATCAGATGTTGCACTTTGAATATGAAATTGTAGATGAGAAGCATTGGCAGGACTCCTGTCTACCAGGGGGTACTTGAAATCATTTGAAAGTGGTACTTTGTGATTTCTGCTGTGATCTTTGGGATGCCTTTCTCAATTGATTGATTATTGACATTAGTTTGCTCTGATATTTGTATTTTGTATTGGAAAACCCCTAGAGTGTTTGGAGTATCTCTAATAACCTGGGAAAACACCAGAGTGCTCTAGAAATTGCTAGTTTTGCATCCAAGACTTTCATGAATTTTGCCCATGAAATGATTTCTGAAGTATTTAATTGCTAGATTGCTCTAGGAACTGGGGGTATAGTAAGCTCTTTTACGTGATAAATAAAGGAGCACTGAGCAGATTGATTTAGAGGATTCGCTGTGAGTTCGTTATAGCTGCAGCGCATGACAGGCACTGGTGTAGCATGAAGTAGTTGATGAGTTATTACCCAATGGCCTGAGGCCTGCGGTGTCTTCAGAACTTCAGAACAGTGACCCGATAGATGGAAATACAGTATTGCAGTTCCAAACTGACACTGGCTGTTCATTTCAGGGGATATTTTTCCAAGAAGAAAGATATAATAACTCAATTATTATTATACAATTCTAAGATTATTGAAATAATTAGATTGACATTGCACCATTCTGATTACTGGTTCCAAATTTTAAGGGTTTCTACTCCTTTTTCATTGTGATTTTTTTCCCTTCTCCCCGCTTGGATAGGTGTTGCACATATGTTTCAGAAATATAATTCAATATTTATCCACTTGAGTGCAGCTCTTTGAGGATGTTTTCTTTTAGACCAAGAATAATGAAATACTTTTAAGCTAGTGAGTGTCCTCCATGAATTCTGTCTTTCAGATTAGGGAGGATGTACAGTTGCTATTGTATGGCCGACATGTCTTTGTGTAGGTTCAGAAAATCAAGTTGAGCTTTGAGTTCTAGTTTTGTGAAAGTGATTTATTCTTTAAAACAAACAAGTGAAAAAAAAAAACTGAATGAAAGGAAAGGGAGTAAAAAAAAATAATACTCCTAACTGCCAAACATGTTAAATACTGTTTTAGTAGGAGAAGTGAGTTTATTGTATTTCCCTTAAGGTTGCGAGGGACTGTGGATTTAGTCACGTGAGCCAACCGACAGTTTCTTTATAGTAAATAAGGTCTGCAATAAATTATTTCACTAGCTCTAAGACCTCTTCCCTAGATTTTCATAGGGAGTTGGTTTCTGTTATCTCTTTAGGTGCTGTGGTAGAAATGCTACATTATAAATTAATGTTGGCATGGATTTACAGTTGGAGTATTGTGTATACTTTTTAGTGGTGAAATTTAAGCTGAATGACTGTGTAATGCATTAGTGTATAGGTACACATATTTGGAAACATTTTTAAAATAGATTTTTAACCTTAGGTGGTACTACTTTTATACTTGTGTTGACATTTTCATCTGTGCCTTTGGGACAGTTCAGTTTTGATTATGAGTTTCTGGTGCCTGTGAGAGGGCTATCACCTGGACAGTGCTTAGAGGTGAAGGTACTTCCTTAGAATGCATCACTGGACATCTTGCTGTCACTCTTCCAGTCTTGCCTTCTCTTCTCTGTTTTTCTTGGATGCAGTTTACCTAGTTGCATTATTCATGAAGATTCTTAAAATCTTAGCACCCCAACACACTGTGTTTCTAATTTCAGAGCAAAAAACTATTTCTGAATGCCAGTTGCCTGGTCTGTTTTATATGAAAAAAATTTATTTACAGGATTTTATAAGAAAGGGCACAAATTTTTCATAATGCAACCTTTGCTCCTTCCCAGTCTGTCTTCATATAATGTAGATTATGTAAAGCTGGACATTGTCAACTTTTCTTCTCTGAAACTTCATAGAGTTAGTCTAGAATTTGGCCCTAAGTCAACCATTATCTCTCCAGAGCACTTTCCTTTTGGGTCTGTATCACCTACGGTCTGAGAAAGCCGCTCATAAGTCTCTGTGGAACACAATTAAATTTATTTTATTATTATTTTTTTGCTCTTTGGGTCACACCCGGCGATGCACAGGAGTTACTCCTGGTTCATGCACTCAGGAATTACTCCTGGCGGTACTCGGGGGACCATATGGGATGCTGGGAATCGAACCTAGGTTGGCTGCGTGCAAGGCAAACGCCCTACCTGCTGTGCTATTGCTCCAGCCACAACACAGTTACATTTAGAGGACAGAATTCAGGTTTAAGATTTTTCTTTTTTTTGTCAAACTCTCATTTGAGTTTATTAATCCAAAGATCTGAGATTACTGGTTAAGTTTCTAAATAGTTCTCACAGATTATTTCATATGAAGCAGGAATCAAAAAAAAAATTTTTTTTTCAGGATTGCTATTAGTAATGATCAACACTTCAATACAAAATGTATTTTTCAGCATTTCCATTAGTGAGCCTAATGCTGTCCGTGAAGCACTGTTGCTTCAAGCGAAACTGCTGGTGACCCCTGTGTATTTTGATTTTGAGTTATGGTACTATATATGGTTCACAGGGATTCTTCTTTTTAAATTCAGGTTACCTTGGCTTACAGCATCGTTCTTTTTCTTACTGACAGTTTTAGTCTTGTTACCAGTTGTTAACCATCATTTTTTCCCCCACTGATACCACTGGCCGGTGAGTCCCTGCAGATCACGCCCCTAATTTTGGGCTCTTCCATGGAGCTATGACAAAGGAAACACAGTGTGAGTGTGTGCTGGGGGCCAGGGGGGTGGCAGTGACACACTTTCAAAGGCCATTGGATTGTGAATATGAAATGTTTTATTCAGAATCACTTACTAAGTGAGTTCTAGAAAGTTGGAGCACATGAAGAGGCAGGCAAACTTTTTGAATAAATACAGAAAGAGCTCATTGCATGAAGTTGGATATCAAGATCTGATTTCTTCCAGTAACTATTTATGACTTTTTGTGTGCATGCAGCATGTCAAATTGAAGTCGTATGAATGATAAAGTTGTTCTCCCCCCCAACCCCACCCCACTCTCCATCTCAACAGTGTTTAGGGCTTTCAGATGCCTTATTCATCCATTTTTTAGGTGGTCAATGTTTTGATGTATCTCATAGGAAGAGTTTGTAGAAAATGTTGGCACAATTTTAACTTTCAGTGACTTGTGACATTATATATTATATATATGTACATATATCTTTATAATATTTCCGTGTTATGTAGTACAAATGTTCTGGGCAAGTTTTAATATTTCAAATGCCGTTGGATATTCTTGTAATAAAGGCAACATGTTCTGCAGTTGATTTTTTTTTTTAAAAACTGGTTTGCCTGTTTTGACACTAAACTGTCCTTAACTGAGCACAAATTCTACTTACAAATGTTACAGAAGCAGGGAAGAATAATCAATACATTTATGAATTGTGGTTCTGTTTATCTTATAGATGATAATGGATGAAGTGGTTGCTATATCTTAGAGCTTGCTATTCATTTAAACCAAGTTTTAACTAACTTTCTATTATACTCTGAAGAGTCTGATGACTTAGCAAGGTTTGTTACCGGTCATGAATAATAAATGTTCCAATCAAGAGAGAACTGGTTTTTATTAATTTAATAAGAGAACCACAATTCATTGATTCGCTTATTCTCATCCCTTACTGTGAAACTTTGTAATAACTACGCTTGTATTACTGAGAAAAAGAAATATTTTGACACTTGACGTATAGGGTAGAGAATGTTAAGTGTCAGTTTCAAAAATGACTTTGTATTTAAGGTTTCTGGCATAAGTATCTAATTATGTAGATTTTGAAATTTATAAGAAGAAAATTTTCTTTAAAAATTAAAAACTTGCTCTAGTTTTGTGACCTTGTGTACTTTTGAAATAAAATCAAAAAAGCAGTGTCCTGCCTCATGGTGTGGCTTTACTATGCCTTTAAAATTTTTTTCTAAGACTTTAGTATGCTAGTACTTCAAGTCCCATTTTCTGTAAGCAGAAAAAAGAAAGCAACAAACACAACAGTGGAAACATCAAACATATATATTTCACCACCACTGCATCTAAATAACAGTGTATAGATATGATAATTAGGGTTGACATCCCCAAGTTCAGTGATTGTCTTGAAATTTTTAATATAAATTTTGTTTCTTCAATGTCACGATCACGACCATCCTGTTGTTCGTCGATTGCCTTGAGCAGGCCCCGGTAACATCTCCTTCGTCCTAGCCCTGAGATTTCTTAAAAAGTGCCATATTCAAGGCTCTTTCAGGGTTAGGAGAAAGAGACCCATCATTGTTACTGGTATTTGGCATATTGGGTACGCCACGAGGAGTTTGCCAGACTCTGCCATGTGGGCAGGTTACACTTGGTAGCCTGCCAGTTTGTCCAAAGTAGGAATGAGGTAATAAAATGTCACAATAAGTTCAGCCACGCGCTTCCGGGAGCTGGGTTTTATAGTCTCCGAGTCTTGGCTGTTGATGGGATTACACGGCGCCAGGGAGCCAATTGGTGGGTGTGACCCCTGCCTACTGGAATTTGGAGGATCGGGGTGGAGGATGCTCATTTCACAAGTACATTTTTTCAATGTACTTGTGATTATTATTTTTGTATGTTTCTTTTTGGAGGGCCACATCTGGTGGTGCTCAGGCCTTACTCATGGATCTGCATTT